GTACAATATGGTTAGTAAGTATATTTACATTCCTCTTTTAGTTGTTACTTCTTGTTTTATACAACAATTTGTAGTCGACTTGATCACTGAGCCTTGCAGCTCTCTGCCACAGGCAGACTGTTTGTCGTCAAGTGAATAATGCACATGCGCGGTTTTTCTTGGGGAAACATACTAACTACGCATGCTTATGCAGCAAGTTCTCAGTCAGAAAGTGTAACGGTCGTACATACAAACAAGCAGAATAATAGTATAGATAGTGATGAATTTTAATAACAAATTTGTGAAACAAACATTACTTTTATGAATTCTTTATCTATAAAGAGTTAAACAATAAAGAAAACAAAACAATAAACATATGTTCTAACAATAAAATAAAAAATTTCTAAAATTTTGTTGTGCATTAACAGTCATACTTTCACTCAGTATGTTAATATGCATTTTAACACTATTATTATGACATACAAATATAGTTAACTGATTTCACTATCAGTTTCATATGAAAAAAAGCAACCAACTTTTATAAAAGAGTGAGACTTAATACATTGTTTTTTTCTGGAAAAAAAAGAGCCCTATCTGTCTGGAAACAAAAAACTAATTTTGGTCCTAAATTTTGTATTGCTACATAGGTGACATATTTGGTACTTGGAATCATGAAATGGAACACACAATATATTTACACAGCCACCTCAATGAGATACACCCACAAATTAACTTCACTCTTTCCAAATGATATGCCCACACTTGCCTTCCTGGACACTTAAAGAATTTCACACCACCTGCTAACATTTCCATCAGGTCCATTATCCTTATTCAATATTTTAAAATTACTTTTTTTATATTTAATTATCTCAATAGATTCATATATATTCATACTAATAATGTTTTGGTTGTTCTAAAATAACAATTTTTTCCCATTGTAGAGTGTGTTTAGTTTCATTAACATGTTCTGCTAATGATGAAATAGTAATACTATTGTTTTTAACATTTTATTTGTATTCATTCCTTCTGTATTTTAAATGTTTTCTAGTTTGCATTCACACAATATTTTATACTTACCAAATTGTTTCATTAAATCAATTTTATCTTTATTTATATTAAGAATTTGGCTAACTTTGTTTATCAGTTTATATATCAGAAAATTATTTATTTGTTTACTAAACTGCTTCATTAAGCCAGGTATAAATGATAGTACCAAACAATATTTTTTACTTTTTTCAGCAACTGGTTTTAACTTAATATTTTCATCCTTGTTTTTTATTTTATTGTCAGCTCTGTCAAATTTAGGATTAATACCTCATTCTATTGCTATGTACCTAATTAATAATAACTCATTATTAATGTCTTCCTGTTTACAACATAATTTCAGTATCCTATCCATATTCAAGTAAAAAACAGTAGTTTTCTGAGGTTTACTGTGGCAAGATTTTGGATGTGGCAGAATGGTTACAGAGAAAGGTTTTCGATAAACAGTAGTTCTTAATTTATCCTTATTTTCATTAAAATTCCAAAAAACTATTTGTCTCAACTTCATAATTAAATCTGATAGAATTAGAAATGTTATCAAGGTAATTAGCAAAAAGAGCCAATTTCTTTTTACCATAGCACCATATCAAAAATGTCATCAACAGACCTTAACCAAACTTCAAGTTTCTTACCTGCTTTATCTAACACTTCAGTTTAAATGCTGTTCATAAATAAGTCACATAATAATAGAGATAAATGAGAACCCATAGCTAAACCTTCATTCTGTTTATAAACTTTACTTTTAATTTGAAAAAATGAAAGTTGAACTTGGTAAAAAATTATATATTCTATAATAAACACATTATAACCTTATATTCCTACCACACACATTTGTTGTGTTTTAGTCCTACCATTTTAACTCTCATAATTTCAAACATTAGACACTTTGAAAACATATAATGCTAAGTGGAGAAGGCTTGTTAATGTCAACTAACCTTGTTGCACACACCAGTGAAGCTGAGAATAAAGATTATCTAGCAGCAGAGGACCAAGTATTTCATAATACTGCGTAAAGACATCCACAATTCCATACAGAGCATGGTTGCAAGTTGTTGTCATCCATTCTGACTTCTGAATAAACAAATTTTTAGAAAGAATATTAAATAAAAATCTAATCGTAAAATTCAAAGTTTATTATGCTTCTTGAAAAATAAAAGTACTAAAGTACATATAAAATTTGAGAAAATTTTAAAAGTTAACTCCTTTGGAATATTACAAGAACTTGAATAGGATAGGCAACTAAAATAATAGAGAAACGTGTTTGAATGTTAAAATGCTTTTTACACTCAAACTCAACTGTTATTTAATGCCTTTTTTATGCAGTTGTGAATACTAAAATAACAAATAGTTTTATTAGGTTACAAAGATTTTATTAACAGTACAGAAATACTTTAACTACCAAATGTTTAACAGAAACTTTTGATGAACAAACATCTCATATGAGCATGAATTTAAAATATATTTAAGTGATACACATCAGAATAAACAGCCATTTAGCAGGCAAATCATGCAAGTCAGGGATAACATGGGTTAAAGTATGAAGGCCAATAAGATCAATTTTATTCAGAACAAGCATGCTACCAAAGAACAGCCCCTGTGGAGATAGACCTGTTAAATCTTTGTTTGGTTTAAACACATAAACAAACTATTATGACATATTACTCAAACTGAACACACATTTCTGCCATTTGTTCCTCCAAATCTACAAGGAGAATTCATCACAAATACTTGTTTTTATATAAACAGAAAAGTACAAAAACAAAGATTTATACACCAAAACCAAGCAAAACAGTTTGACTTAAACAACAATTTAAGTAATAGTAGTTCAATACACAAGAGGACAAAGTTGAAATTAATATGTCATCATTAGATGTGTCATGTGTCCTCCAATATTCCTTGAACATGATATAGATATATGTGTATGTGTTCATTATATAGACTCACAAGTTATAAAAGTTCTGAAGGTAAGTAAAGCAGCTAGGAAAAACAGATATTTCCTACTTTACATTTATAATAATACACATCAATTTAAAATTATCAGTTATCATTTGATTTTAAGCACAAGAAATGAGTAAACAACAGATAAAATCAGAATGAAATGAAAGCACTATGTATTTATTAACTACTTGAAAAATACAGATGGGACATTTGTTTTTCAATAGACTCCTTAAAAGAGATCTGTGTTTGAGGCTGGTTTTCAATTATACTGTAGCTATCTATGTTGCCAATCATGTCAAATGTGTGTGTAAGCAAGATAAGGTAGAGGCTGAACTGAGGCTGTTTTCTAAATTTGTTCAAATTGTTTTCTATCGAAATGCAATGTATGATAAAGTATTAAAATAAATCTGAGTTTTAACTGTCATATGGATCCATGAACCACGCAAGAAATGTCTGGGTTTCAAGCTAGTGTTCAATGTTGTTTCTACTATTGGATATGAGTGCACACATTTAAAGTGAATGTATGAATACCAAATGACAGAGCTTAGGTCTTATACTCTATAGTACTACCCTCAGTCAGTATGATTGAATAAATCAGATAATGATTTTTTAAAAACTGTGTAGAAACGTTTTTTGGTCATTCATTCTACAGGAGATCCAATCTGTCACTTTAAGTTGTTCAGACAGAATCTTTATCTACTTGCTCTGTTTTTCCTTTCTTTTAATGGTAGATGGGTTACAGCATGTGCTTCAATTGATACAAGTTTCAGTACTCGGTCTAGTTTGAATTTTATATTTTATCATGATCAAATTTGTCTTAATTTTTAAAATCCTGATTTATCTTTCACTCCATTTTATAAATACTGTTAGTTTTCATACCCTTTCTAATGCACAGTTTAGTTTAGTTTTTACTGGAGCATTTAAGTTGCATTAAACTATATATATGAAGGTAATTATCCTTTGAATTATAGATTACTTTAGAGGGAAAAATATTTGTCTGCTTTACTTGACAAATGAAACCTATTTGGTTATACAATTTTATAAATATGTTGATATCACATACAGTTAAAACACATCTAAATTTCGAAACAAAGTTTTTTTTGTTTTGGATTTCACACAAAGCTACATAAGGGCTATCTGCACTAGCCAGCCCTAATTCAGTAGTAAAAGACTACAGTGAAGGCAACTAGACATCACCACCCACTGCCAAATCTTGTGCTACTCTTTTACCAACGAATAGTGGGTCAAATTATAACACCCCATGGTTGAAAGATCAAGCATGTTTGACACCAACTTCAGATCAGTTGGGTCAAAAGAAACAAAATGGTGTATTCTAGATTTTGTCCAGACAAAGTGTTGTTGTGCATCAAATATATTTTTGCATATACATATAAAAAGTCATTTTAGCATGTTTGACCACTATAATAAAATTTAATGTACATTATGCTTCTTTTGCAGTATCATTTCTGAACAAAGTAGAATCTATACAAAAAATGCCAGAATTTTCTCATCATTTACCATAATTCCAAATGCATAGTTTGATTGTTTTAACAAAAACAATACTTCATAACATATCAAAATACCTAAGTAACTCAAGTTGAGGAGTTAAAATGCCAAAGGTCAAGAAACTTAATTTTAGTATAACGAGGCAAAACTACATAGTACTGTGAACATATGAGATGAGTTTGAGGTATTTAAAAAGTGTTTCACATATATGGATTTGTTTTATTCTTGTTACAAGCTTTGCAGTGCATGAAATGAATTTTATCTGGAGATAGCTTTGGTGTCATGAAGGTCACTCTGACTAACCACTTTGCTATAGCATGTCTTGGGTCTTTTTTATTTCTTTCATTTTTTTAAGCTACGGAAGTACGCTTTCAACTGTAATATAAGTTCAAAATTTATTGTTTTTTTTACGTATATTCATTTATTCTTAATAAAAGTAACTAGAATCTAAAAATTAGTTAGACAACAAAAAATGTAAATATTTCATGACACTGACTCAAGCTAACTGTTACACATGATTTTAACCTGATCAGTTGTATACACTAAGTTCTTTCCTGGTGGTTAACTTATTGTCATGCACTTAGATAAGATCTAAAAGACATTGTAAAGTAATAAAATTAAAAGCAAGAAAATATGAAAAGGTTAGACATCTGAGGCTAAGGAATAAATAATTGTAACTGTCTGTTATAATCTGCAGTCATTCTAGAAAAATAGAAATGTGTTTTTGATTTTATTACATATTTTTGAACATCTCATTTCATGCACATTGATGATTTCACTGCAGTTAGTGCCTGGCTAGAGAAAACAATAGATAAAGTATCAAGTTTTACCATAAAAAAAACTGATATCCATTTGGGAGATTTCAAAAGTTATGCAAATGAAATATGAAACTGTTAGATGAAAAGAAGTACTTTTATTAATAGTAAGAAAATCACCTTTCACACAAACTGTCTCATTAAAGGTTTCATAAATTTGAGACAAATGTTTACCAAACATCTGATTTTTTGTGTACAATAGACTTGTAATGTTTACTAAAAGTTTCCCAAATTTTGTGAAGTACAAAGAAACACTTGGTACATCCACAATTATAAAATGTATAGCTTTTCACGGTTAAATGGTAGTTACAAGGTTGGTCAAAATGCCCAAGTCCATACATATAGAGTTAACAGCAAAGGATGGTACATATATTTTGGAGTTTCCACTAACGGTACAGGTATATGAATAACTTTTAATTTAATTTTTACAAAATACAAGACTGTATGCATATTCTGGCTAAATCTGATTAACAATGTAAAAAAGGTGTGCACTGAATAAATCTTCCAAACATCACCATATAAAATATAAAGTTAATTATGATACTTATAATAAAGACAATTATAAGACACAAGAATCACAGTAGGACAAGTAATATTAAGAGAAAAAATGATTATACTAAAAGATGAATTTTTCAACAAGGACCATTATAAATGACAAAAATTGCTGAAAGTTTCACAGAGGGAAAACAAAGAAGAGAAGCCAAAATGTAATGTGAAAATTGGCTCCATTCCATGCATAAGCTGCATGCAGACACAAGTTGGAGGGACACATGAGGCTGAGTTCATGAAATTCATGATATCACAGAAATCAACCAACCTCTGCTTGTTTCTCCTGTGACTGCAATGCAGCGAACCAACAGGGCAGTTACCATGGAGACACAAGGTGAGAAAGGGTGCAAAAAACAAAAAAAAATGACAATAGTAAAATAAGAGTGGAACTCTTATAACAAAAGTGTAAATATGGGAACAAATCAAAGTTGTGTGATTTCACAAATTAATTAATATAATTTCAATTTAATTTGAAAACTACTCAATATAAAAAGTTTGTGAGAAACATTTTTATTACATCATTCTAAATGATGGCATTACAAATATTTGAAATAGTTTCACTTACAGTTAATAACATGATCCATTCAAAACAGTTGGATTTTCCATTAAATTTGCCCAAATTGGACATAAAATGCCCAAAAGTTAAAAGTTTCTTCCATCTTCTTCTGGTCTAATATACTTTTTTTTTCAATTATTTATTATATTCAATATAATATCATATAAAAAATCCAAAATCAATCAACTATCAATGATAAAACAATTTGTTCAAGTTTTCAATTTATGTGTTATACAGGTGTTTATGCACTTTGATAAAAGCAGATGTTATACCGGAACAATTTAACGTTTTCCTGTCAGATGTAAAATCGGTAATAACAGATGACTGATTTTCACTGTCAGGCAAAAGTAAAATATGCAATAAAATTATTGATACTAAAATAAACAAAAAATTAGACTATCTTTTGAAGGCTATAGATAACTTTTTTGAATGCCAATTATTAAGTATAATTTGAAAAATTTTAAATGAATTCTTACTTTTTGAAATGAACTGCATACTAATCCTACTCTTTAAAGGCAGCTTATACTCAAAACATGGATCTTTATATACACTTTTATTATTTTACACACAATGCCATACTGACTATTCAATATAATTTTACAGCCCTATTTTTTTTAACCTCAATCCTCAAAACCTAAACTTTTTTAAAACCTCTAAAATGTTTATCTGAAAGCCTTAAATTTCATTACATAATGGTTAATATTCATGTCATAGTTTTATTTTCACATTATTATCATCAAATAGACTGCAGGCAAAATACCTTCAGCCACTTAAACAAAGTTGTACTAACCATTAATTATGTTTTTATGTACCTATATTTCTAGCATCTACCAAAAAGAATGCATTACTTTTACCTTTTTTTAGTCTTATCTTGCTTGTGTATATATACAATTTATATAAATATAAACAAAAACTACTGTACAGATTTTTGTCTATCTCATATACCTTTCACACTAAATACACAAGTAATAAAGAAAAGTAAGCATTTCTTCTTTTAAGAACAAATCATATAACATTTTTTGTGTAATTTAAAACAGAGAAATCAGCTTTTAAAAACATCTCAGAGATGTTCTTCAACAGTCCTATACTTGTATATCCCACGTATATACGAAAATAAGTTCAATCATTGTTAAAATATGGAAAAAAAAGGCAGTTAACTATTAAACATTAGCCAGTTATTTAAAAACAACCATAAATTCTCCCTTGTTTTCAACATTAAACATTTCTATACTTACAAAATTGAAGCATTCAATTAGTCTCTCTTTTTGGGTTGGGTGGGGGAGACTCATTATTCACTGAAGACTTACCTCCAGCTGCAGCTCTGGAAGTTTTGCACTATCAAAGATTCTAAAGATAATTTGAAACAAGTCTTGCCACCAATGAGCTTTGAACATTTCTCCATGAGTCTTCACTATTTCAAACATGACAGTCAATGCTCTGAAAACACGAGTAACACTTTAATTTATTAATTTTAACAAAAGGTCTTTAAAAATATGCTCGTTTCTGCATGTGTGTAAAGAGCATTTTGTGTTACAACCAAAAACTGAGTTATAATTTTAATATCACCACAATTATAAAATTTAGGTTATTGCACATATTCAAGTAGAGGATTAATCTTTATTCACAATGAAACAGGGCTGAAATGTCAAATGGATATCTTAATTGATACATACATTGACTTATGATATGAAAATACAAAAAATAATAACAAAAGCAACCGATGATTTTATCTCACCTGGTGTGTATATCCAGATAACATTGACCAATGACACAACAATTGCACATTACCAAAAACTACCTTTGAACCTTGACTGGACTTACTTTTTCCACACATTCAGTTACATCAAAATGACACAAGAATTTTAATAATACTGGAAAACTAGCTTTGAACACAAAGGCTGTTTACCTTGTTCGAACATCCAGCTTGCATCGACTGATAACACACGATAATTCAAACAATATTGGAAACCAGCCTCGAACCCAAACTCTGTCTTCTTCAGGAACACTCTGGTCCTCAATGTTGTGATCTTTAAACATCTAAAATCAAAATAACAAATCTTAAGTAATTTCATTAATTTATTCTATCACTAATAATCACAAATGCTAATAATTTTTAAAATCCTATGAATCATGAAGTTGAAATGTTCAAGGTTCACTAAGAAAACCAGAAACATAAATATGGCATGTATAGTCTATGTAAATGTGAAAATACAAAAACAGGTTTGTCTATTCAACAATCCAAAGTATACTTTCAAGAAGTCACAATAATCAAAATATTTTATTCACCTGGGGCTGGTCAGCCACATATTTTGCACAATGTCTAATTAATCTGATAGCTTCCATGCTTGTGTCTGGGAAGCCTGCATTACAAGCAAACTCTGAAAGACATTTCACAGAGTCCTGAAAAGAGTCTATCAATGCCACAAAATATTCTTCATAAATGTGACCTGCAACAAAATAGAAAAGAATACTGTTAAAAAACGTTTATATGATAACAAAATTACAAAAAACATTACATAAAATGGTCCAGTATGCTTGTCAATTTCCATAAAACAATACACTTAACTAGAAAATGATTACAGAATTAATAGGTAACTGTAAAGCTAATACTTAAAAACATACTTAACCCTATTGCCACAGGTATCCTTTACTGCACATGACGCAAGGTTTTACTTTCTTTCATTCAAAATTTTATTAAACTACTTTTTGTTCATATTATACCAATTAGAAGAGCATAAAATCTTAGCTAATAATACATATTTTAACAGTGTATAAGTTTTAAGTTCTTATTCGATGACAAGGAACCCACTTTGAGACTAATAATGGTTGGAGATGGCTTGAATGGGTAATGAAAACTTTAATACGTTGTACATTTGCTGTTATGTTAAACTTATATTAAAGATTTCTTCCTTACCCATTCAAGCCATTTCCAACCATTATTTTAAGTTCTAAATTCTATAAGGCAATATTAAAAAAAAATCCTGAATTTCCACGAGTGTGACCCATGTAACACATTTTCTCTTAGCATGTCATCTTCCCAATTTTATCCACCACCCTTGAAAAAGTACAAAATTAAATGTAAATTACTCTCTACAAAATCGTCATTGCTAAGAAAAATCATATTTTTTAGTCTTCAATTTTGTTTGGTTATAGAGCTATTGAATAGAAAATCAGACCCCTCCTGCCACATCCTCTTTTTCAGAATTCGTTAATAGTTCTCTCTTACGTTTAATTATATATTACAAATAGAAAGTCAAAGTTTTCATATATCAAATGATGTACCACAAAACATTATGTTCTGAATGTTTAAATGTCAATTTCACTCAGAGTACCAACATTGTTCCCGTGAGAAAGTTGACGACTAGCTGGGATGAACTTGTAACAACTCTTGTCACACAATTAGATAGCCAGAAAAAGTTTGAGAAGTAGGGGAATTTGTCTACTTTTTGTATGTTATTAGTCTATATTCTTTGGTGAATAATTTAATTAAATGATTATTATTAAATGCTTTACTATAAAAAATGAGGGTTAACTCTATTCGGCAAGAAAAAGAAGATTGGTTAAGTATTTTATTTCTTGTTTTTCATGTATACTCGTTATGTCTAATTATAAAAGTAACTAAAATATAAAAATATGGATCCTTTTAGGTTAGTTAAGATTAGATTAGGTAAAATAAATAATAATATTATTATAATAAAAATGTTTCATGAGGCACATACATGAGCAGCTCGTAGTAGCTTGTGGGTAATGTAATTCATTAGTGTAACGTGAGCTGCATGTTCCCCGAGTGATTTACAACTTATAATGGCACGGATAGTAGTTAGACATGGTTCAAATGGCAATAAAACAATAAAATGTAATTATAAATAGATGTATACTGTTATAAACTTAGAGCTACTCAGATTAAACAAATGTAGCTTCATGTTACAATTTGAAGTCATTCTAGAAAGAAAAAAAGGGGTAATTGAGATTTATTTTCATTTATTTTTGGTGGTTACGAGGTCGGTCGAATTGACCGATTCTGTTTTGAGATAGAGTAGAGAAAATAACAGATAAACTATAAAGTTTTATTGAAAAAAAAACGTTTGAAATGCATTTCGGAGGATTTAGGAATTACACAAAGGAAATTTGAAATTTTTTGAGATGAGGGAAAGTATTTTTAATTTCGACATGAAAATTACTTTGCACACGGACTATTCAAAACAAATACTCAATATATTCATGGAGAAATCTTATTTTATTTTACTAAAAACACTTCATAAAAACATGATTTTTTGTGAAGATATACATACTATAATGAAAGTTAGAAGTATTAAATCTATAAAGACTTTAAACAAGTACAAATAAGTCACGTAGTTGGTCAAATTGACCAAGCTCATGTTGAGAGAGTTAATAAGACCCAAAAACAGTATTCAAGGTTTTGACTTCAGATCCTTCAGTTTATCATTTTGCTGGAGTTTTTGTTTTTTAATTTTCATATAAAGCTACACAAGGACTGTGTGTGCATACACTTTCCTTAATTTTGAATTGATAGATTAGACGGAAGACATCTAATCAACAGCATCCACCACCAACTCTTGGGCTAGTTTTGACTGACTGAACAGTGACATTTGACTGTCATTCTTATAGCACACTCATGGGCCCAAAGTGCAAATCATGAACCTATAGATTCTCTGTCTGGCCTCATTCTATTAGAATCTAGAAAAATTAATTTAATAACCAACATTTATAATATTTTCTAAAATTAAAGGCAGTTTTATTTTGAATTCTAAAATAAAATGGACAAATGGACTTACTAATAATTTTTCCTGTTGTTTGAAATGCTAGTTCTACTATTCCTTCATCGTGGTCAGCAGCAGCAAGATGAAAGACACTGAAAATATTCTTCCAGCCTGACCTAATGTTAGCAGCTTGAGAATTGACCATCTGGGCAACACATCTTACTACCATATCTCTGATTGTTGGAGATCTAAAACAGTAAACAATGTTTATTTTACCAACCATACCTGGAACAAGCTATAAAACTGAACAACTTACTTGAACAGAAAATCAAAACTGAATTTTTTGAGAAGTGTAACTTAGAATCTTAATACACATTTTCCTTGTCTTTATACCAATATTTACTTTTTCATGTGATCAAACTTTGAAACTAATTATTCCATTTTGCTTTCTGTGGGATGAAAGTGGAGGCATGTCACTGTCCATGTTTTATATTTGCTGTACTTATAAAGCCTTGACTTGTAACTAATTGTTTTCTTACTAGATTTACCAGGTAATACCAATGTTCTGAGGGAAAATGCCTGTTTGCACTATTTAAAGTCAACATTAAATTTCTCAAAAGAAGTAAAGCTCTTTGCAAATTTTACTTGCTATTCACCATATGATCTTACCCACTCAAACTATTTGCTACATTTTATAAGCTTCAAGTCTTTATTCTTAAAATCTAAGTCAGAAGAGTGGATAATTAATACTTTTGTGTCATATTACAAACAGTTTCAATTACTGAAGAGCAAATAAATGTTTGTATAACTATTACACTATTTAGTATGACAGCATGTATTCTTGAACTTCTTTCCTCCCCTATATTTGAAACTTATTCAAAAATCATACAGAAACACTGTTTAATTTGAAAAATAAATAACCTTAAAAACCCAAATTTAGTTTTTATATTTAACTGAATGCTTAGTGTTGCACTTTAGAGCTTCATCATGATTGTTCCACTAAAACACAAACTGTAACTGACAACATAAAGCTTCAAATGGTTTATACAAGAAACTGTATTTGACTGGACAAGGTGCATTTCTACAACTTGCATTTGATATTATATGTAGTAGAGCTTACTGATGAAATTTTAAAAGTTCTTTATAGTAACCAAAACTTCCAACTGAAAATAAAGATAAGAATAATATATGTGTTGAGTGCTCAATTAAATAAAAATTTCAGTTATAAGGTCACGTATTTATGAAATTAACCTTTTTTTTATGCTCCAATATGCACTACAGAAATTAAGTAACCAAAACTTCCAACTGAAAATAAAGATAAGAATAATATATGTTATGTATTGATTGCCCAATTAAATAAAAATTTCAGTTATAAGGTCAAGTATTTATGAAATTAACATCTTTTATGCTCCAATATGCACTACAGAAATTAAGTGATGAGAAACATTATTTGCCAAATTAAACAAGAACAAAACTTGCTGGTCTCTTGTTTCAATGTATCTGGTGAAAGTGGTGAGAAAGAAAATAAGAGCTTTCAGCTGTTCTGTGGTGAAAGAAAAACCAAAGCTCATATAAAAGAACTGAGATAAAATGAAAATTGAAAAAAATAAAAGCTTTTGGAATACCATTTCCTCTAGATAAAATAAACACATAAAGTAGTTCTTAAAAATATAAAACATTTATCACTACTTCATTTGTGACTATAGGTAAAAAATAATTACACACGAACAATATCAATAAAAACACAAGAACTGTAGATAAAAACCTGTTTTTCTTCATGATGTGCTCAAAGGGACGCAAAAAGTCCTTCTGGAACCTGAAGTTCACAAATTCTCCTTTTTCAATGAATTTCATAGATAGTTGGCGTAAAGAATCAACTGCGAAAAAGGCTACATCTTCACTGGGACTACAACCGACCTGAAGAAAAAAACCCAAAAATTTATTACTTAACCCTTTCCAGAATATACGGGTGTCATTAATACCCTCTGATTTTTTTCCTTTTTAAAATCAAAATACTTAACCAAATAAAACTTATAACAAGCTTACTAAATAGTATCTAGTTTTCATTATAAAAAACATATAATTAGTATTTCTATCATTTTCTAGGTTGTAAAATTCCATAATTTTGTTAAAAGAAAACATTTAAAAAAAAACTTTAAAAATACTTCCTTTCACCTTAGAAGTTACTTTTTTATTGTTGATCAGAAAGTCCCATTTTATATACATGTTCAATTTCAACTTGATTGATATTCATGAACATATTTCTTTTGATACTTTATTTTGTCTACTGCAGTGATCACCATTAAGAATATGATAAAAACGAATAAAGATTTAGCTGTAACCTGTAGCCTAATCTTTCAAAATGGCATTTCCAGCACCTGTGTCAAGCTAGGTATCATGACTTTTGCCAACAACAATCTTGATCAACATCAACTTATATACCCTAAGAACTTTTCCTTTACAATAAATAATTTCTTTTATTTGTGCAAGTTTTTTGGATATAACAAAGTTAATAGTAATATTCAATAAATAAGGATTTGAGTCATCAAAATATTTTTCAGTCACCTGGCTAAACCTAAATACCTGCTGTCTTGTCAGAGAGGAAACTTTTTATAGCTTTCAAACAGATGTAATTTAACAAAGAAACGTTTTTAGAATGAAAAGAACATATATAAATGAACTTTAAAAATTCCCAAATCTGTAGTTTGTTCCTAAGTCTTTTAAACTTCCTATTAAATTTCTTTGCCATTTAGAGGATCTCTGATGAATCAGTACCTCAAGAAACCATAAATTACTTATCAAACCACTCTACATTAAAACAAACAGTTTATAATATGCCCTATCTAACTATATTTGAACATTGGATATAGCTATTTTCAAATCTGAGGTTCTTTAGCAGTTGTTCTTAGCCATATGATGTGGCATCATAAAAGAGTGACAACAAAACGCTGCAGTCATAAAACCACTACAGAGAAAGAAAATCATGTGAGAAACAAGACATGAATAATTAAATTCTCAAGGAATGACAGTTTCTTAACAAATACTTTGGGACAGGTAGAAAAGTTGTAAATAAAAATCAAATAATGTATCGTTTACATGCATGACTCCTCAGATCTGTGCAGAAATGAAGATTGTATAAATGTTTCCTTTTTCTTTGTAGATTACTCTAAATAAATATTACAAAATGACAAAATATCAAATCAAAAATACTTTTCAATTAAAAATTGTTGAAATAGAGTTAGAATTAATATTTTCAATATAAATTTGCAAATTTGAAATACACCTCAAAAGTGCTCCCTAGTCATAACTATGTTAACATTTATACATAATATAAAGCAACCAGCTAAACTATATGATTATAATTATTCAAGAACATAAATAGCTTGTTAAATCAAATTGAGAATCACATAAGCTTGATCAAGCAATATACAACAGCAACACTGGCTCAGTCCAGTAAATTCAAAATTTGATAAATTTGCTACCTTTAGAGATTTGAATATTGTGTTTACAAACTTTGCAAGGTCATCTGAATTTGAAATTTGTTTTCAAATGATCATTCCCCCTAATTTTCTTTTTACGTAGAATTTTATGTTGTGAAATTATTTTAAACACTTGATAAGATTGACTAATTTTACATTTTTTTTACTTTCATGAATTTTAAACTGTTTATAATAAGATTTTAATTGTAAAAATCTCTTCTATCTTACAAGAGAAAGCATTCATTGTTTATTATACAGATTCAACCTAGTATTAGTCAAATGATGCTGGTATGATGCTTATATGACTAGAATTTTCAGTTTGATGATATTTCTATGTATATGCAGTGACCCGATTCCAAGTACAGTTCATGGAAATTTCTAATTATTTAACTTTACCTTGTTAAAATGTTCACCAAGAACTTCCCAGATACGAGACCACTGCAAGCGAATTCTTCCCATGTTATAGTATGATATTTCTACAATCTTCTGAAGACTAAACATACGAGGATGAGAGGAATGAGCTAGTTCCTCTAACGACACGTGACATAATGCTCTTACAAAGTCTACAACAGCATCTCCATCAAGTCTTGTGGAGCCTGTAAAAATTCTAGAAAATAGAAAAACACACTAAATAACATACAAAGTATCCTAAGTAATAACCCTATGTATACTGGTAGGTTTAAAGGGCATTTACAGTTTAGTTAGAAAACCAGTTAAACTATAGTAGTTTTAGGCCATTCTATATTCTGTTCGTATCTGGATTAAAAAAAATAAATTTTGAGATAACATTATCATTACAAAAATATAACCTAATGTGAGTCAGAGGCATTTTTTGTATATATACAAAGCAAAGAAAAGACAAGATACATTATTTATTTATTGTCATAAAAGTAACTAAAATAGAGAAATTAAAAACTTATTAAGTTAGATAAGAAAATGTAAATGACAAAAATAATCAAAGTTCTCATGATATCACACACACACACACACGCACATCATAACGCATTATAGTGTAATTCAACACGAGTGCTGGCAATCCGATTCACTGTTTACACAAAGCTGTCCCACATAATAAATAGCTTTTGCTTTACTCTGAGAGGGTCAAATTATAACTGTAAAGAAACACAGCTATATTCAAATCCCAATCCTATTAGCTTTGGCTGTAAGATTAAATAGTGTATAACTGTCTGCTATAATATGCAGTAATTCTAGAAAAAAAATTAAAATTGATTTCATACTAGCATAAAATACCCATGCTCCACTGCAGGATTCTAAGGTCCCCTCATGATTCACAGAGGCCTCAATGTACCAGTCAAGCATCTCCATTATCTTAATTACTTCTATAGCTAACTCAAGGCACCAATTCTTTAACTGATTTGTCTGTTCCCATTTCTTGAACTTAATTCAACTCTTTTTAGAAGCTAATAATTATATTTTAGCTTCTCAGATTCTTTTTTTTTTCTTTCCGTGTTTTTATTTGAATTCTTTTTTGTTTGTTTCTGGCTTTTTTCATGTACCAATATTCCTTAACTGTTTTGTCTTAAACATATAAATTATTAAAGCCTTATTTTATTTTTATTTCTTACACTAGTTTTTTTATTTATGTCTGAACTCTTATTGCAGAATCATCAATATTTTTCCCAGTGTTTTGTTTGAGGCATTTTCCCAAACTTAATTTAATTCATGGTTTTGAAAGTAATAATATTAATTTTAACTTTTATATTGTATTCTTTTCTTATTTTCTCTTTTCCACTAATACAGATGGAAAATAATTTCAACTTTATTTTTTGGCCTAGATAGCTATACGGCCAGAACTATTGATAATGCCATTTCCTCAATTTAAATAAAATGGAATGCAAAATTAAATATTCAAATTTTGTAAAATACACTTTATATTTCTCAAGTGTTCATGTAGGCCTCAGATTGTATGAATGTGAGGAAAATAAAAAATGTTCAAATGTTATTGAAATATGATTTCCCAAACTGTATTTATTTATTTAAACTTTTTCTAGTATTCTGAGGGTCTGTTCTATGGGTTCTGGGAGGTCCTGATGCCTTTGTTTCCTTCCCTGTTACCTTTAACTGGCTATGAAATGTTTGGTTCCATACCCTATTGAATTTTGTTCATATTTTCAAATTCTATGACGAGGAACCCATTTTGAGACTAATAATGGTCGGAGACGGATTGAATGGGTAATGAAGAAAAACTTTAATACGTTGTACATTTGCTGTTATGTTAAACTTATATTAAAGTTTTCTTCATTACCCATTCAAGCCATTTCCAATATAAATTTAACATAACAGCAAATGTACAACATATCGACAAGGTTTTGTCATCATCATGACATTACCCATTCAAGCCATCTCCAACCATTATTCGTTCATATTTGGTAAGATATGTCCATGTTTTCTCAATTTTTGGCCAATTTTGGCAGATTTTTTTACCAGTTTGTTCTTTTTCAATAGTAGTTGGTAGAAAACCTCCATATATTTTTCATTCAGTAAGTGAGAATTAGAAAAAATATGATACTTTTCTATAGACCTTCAGAAACAGAATTATCGGGCTTAAAGGCTTTAGGGCAAAAAATTGGCCAAAATTTTCTGAATCAAATCTAAAAAATTATACCCGGGTGCACACCTTCAGAATCCTTTAGTATGTGTGCAAAGTTACAGGTCTCTAGGTTCTTTCCTCTCGAAGCAATGGCGGTCACACACAGGCTCTTTTATTCTTATACATTTTTTAACTTTTCATTTTACCCTACATTCCTGATTTTGCCACAGTTAAGTGCTAGGGTAAAGAAATTAACAGATGAAAATTGTAAGTTGAAAATAAACATTTTTATCCTTAAAATGAAAATCACCTTACACTCAGACTGACTCAGTAAAGGCTTTGTAAATTCACATACAAATCTTCAGCAATAAATACTTTAGCACAAATTTTCCATTCCTGTGTACAACAGACTTGTTATGTTTATTACAGGTTTACCAAATTTCACGAAGATACACTTAGTGCTTTCAGAGTTAGTACATATATAGTTTCACGGTGGTTACAAGTTTGGTCAAAATGAACAAACTTACATTTGTAGATAAAGTATAAGTAGAGCATTAACAGAGAACTTTCATAGTTTTTTTTAGTTGTTACTGTAAATTGAAAAAACAAAACCTAACCTTGACACATAACGAATATCTATAGTCCATAAATATGAGATTAAGTCACAACCTAGAAATTTGACTTATACAAAGAGAAAAAAAAACATAACTAAAATGGAATAAATTAACTAAATACTTTAGCACATAAACAATGAGAAAGGGAACACTGGCATAATGTAGCATAAAAAATGATAGTATTTTTTATAGTATCTTTAGACCTCTTTTTCATTCCTCAACATGTTTTCATGTAAAACTGTATCTGTTTTTATAAAACTAAATGGAATTTTCTTCCATTACAAGACCTCAAAAAACGTAGTTATGTTTTGATGAATACTAAGCATATGCAATTAACTGCAGCAAAATAAACACATTTCTTATGTTAAACATACAGACCTTCCAGAACCACATACATTTTTATCTTTTTTACAAATGCAACCTTTGTAAATTGAAGTAAATTACTCACCTATCAACAGCGACCACAACACTTTGGGAACTGGTTTCCCCCATAGACTCTTGGAGAATTGCCATTTTCTTCATATCCAATGGAACTCCACCACGGGTAACTATAATAACCATGCACAATAAAAACTTTATTACACCATATGGACTATAAAAAAGATGTTTTGACACAAATAAAACTAACCAAAATACACAAGGTTATTGATACATCCACTTTTATGTTAATATGTAAGCATGATTTAGATTTTGTACAAAAATTTCTACAGTAAACAACTTTTATATACTCTTATTTTTTTTATGTAAAGATGCAATAACATGTTTAGTATGAACTTGTGACAGCTTCACTCTACACGTCTCACACATTAACAAATACTTTACCATTAAAATATTTATTACACATTGCATAAGATGGGGTCTAATTTTGTTGTTCCTTTAAATACCAAATGTTAACAAACAGATTATAAATAGTTCCTTACTTTCTGATGGGTCAAGAACAAGACCAACGCCATCATTGTTAGCTGCTTGGCCACTGCTGAGAAAACGGGGTTTCACACCAGTGCCAATAAGCTGAGCAAGTTCCAACTGGGAAATACAGCGTAGAATCTATGCAAGTGAGAGAACCAGTAGTATGTACAATATGAAATTAAGAAATATTTTAAAATACAGAAAAACAAGCTCTATAAATCTCAATATTTAACAAGATGTTTTGACATCTAATCACATAGTCCACCTAGATTAAAATCACCTGGAAACACACAGTTTGATAACATATGTACAATACATCTTTAAATTAAAGTTACAACAAAAAGTGAAAAACAAAAAATAGTACAAAGTATGTAAAAATTGATAACATTCTACAAAGCATCTTTCATATCTTGTCTACACCACAAAACTAAGAATGTACATACTGTGTAAAAATTGATAACATACATACAAAATATCTTTAACCCCATGTGTATGGTTGGATCAAAGTGCACACATCATGACCTTTTACATAGTTACATTCAAAATTTAATAAAACAAGTTTATTATCAACGTATGTCAATAAACTTGGCATCAAAATGTAGTTTCTAATTCAATTATTAATTTTATATAAGTTTCGAATTTTTAATTGGAAAGCAAAATGTTTAAATAAATTCTCAATCTCCATTTCTGTGTATCACATGACACTTCTTTGCTCCAAATTGCCCATTTCAGATTGTCTTACTACACCTATATGGTCTTCTGAGTTTAATATAAATGCCCTCATTTACAGAGTATTCATGATGTTAGAAAAACAGATAGGTTCAAGAAGTCTTGATAGAAATGAATAAAAACTATATAACCTGAGTGCTTTCGAAAGGTGGACCTTTCTTCTTCAGGGGCAAACTGAAGAAGAAAGTTCCACCTTTTTAAAGCACTCACCTCAACCAGTTAGGGGAATTATTTTATCCCACTCATAACATAGTTAGAAAGTCGGTTAAACTATATAAGTATTGGGTTCTTGTATTTTTTTACATGTACATATTTTGTGTTATTACTTTCATATTTGTAATAAACAAAAATTATTTCATGTACTACTACCATTGTTACAGAAAAAAAAAGAGGCCAGATATTGGTACTATATTTCTTGTTTTAATACAATACCTTTAATACAATAAATAAAAATTATATATAAAAAATTGGAAAGGTATTCAGTTAGAGAATAAAACATCAAGGAAAAAAAATAGTTTTCAGTAAGATATGCATACAAGCTCTTCATACATTATCTAAATTAATATTTTGTTTCCCATAACTTGAGCTATGTGCTCACTGGGTAATATATTACTTTGTTACTGCAGCTTGCTAGTTAGACATGGTTTGAAGAGCAAACAAAAAAAAACAATTAAATTAAGTGAAAGCAATTGTGAAAATGTTAGAGGCCTAAATTTTTAAGATAAATAATTATAATTTATTGTTACAATCTACAGTCATTCTACAGTTAGTGTTAGGATAGAGAAAATAAGAGATACACTATAAAGTTGTACCAAAAACAAACCTTTTGATACTAATTTCGGAGGTTCTAGAAATTATGCAAATGAACTATGAAAACTGTAAGGTGGAAAAAAAAGCTTTTTTTATTAAAATCTTAACACTCAGAGTCAGGCTAACTTCAACAATTCACAGGTAAATCATTAGGAAACATATTTTATTACAAAATCTGACTTTTTGTATACAACAGACTTTCACATTTACTAAAAGCTTGCCAAATTTTGTAAAGATACACTTAGTACATCTGGAGTTTTCGTAAACATGGGGGTTACCTTGTAATTTGCACCAAAAAAATTATGCAAAAATTGGTAACACGTGTTCAAATTATCTTTAATTTCCAGTCTACACCAAAAAATTAAAAACATACTGTGTGAAAATTGGTAAATACCATCTCAATTAATTTATTATGTGCATAAAATTCAAAATTACACTTACCATCATACTAGAAAAATCTCAAATTAATTATAAGAATGACGTCCACACATTTACATACTTATAATCAAATAAATTATGAAATTCGTCATCTTAGTTGCTAAGCCTAATTTAGTATAATAATTTCTTTAAGACATGTCCCTTAAAAACAAAGAGAGAGAGATTATTTTTTTCTTTACACAGTTAGTACTGATATTTTTTATTAAATAAAGACACAGGAACGTCAAAAGTAAGTCATATAGTTCCTTTTTTTATAGTTCACTTCACATTCTTTAGTTTTCCTACTCTAGCTGTTGGGCCTTTTATAAAAAGAAAAGGAATTTCAGTAGCCTAGTGATTATGACATTTGTTCCAGGATGCAATCCATTGTGCTCATGCTTGCTTGGTCTCTGTAACAAGAGCTCCAAGCATTTAATGTGGAGAGAGGAGAACCTAAGTTATTAGTCAGTGCTATTACTCCTCTGACATGCACCTTACCCTTTAAAAAATGGATTCTCAGGAAAAAAAATTAACTGATAAGTGACTAAGTTTCCCTTTTTTGTATGTTCCAGATTACTGAGTAATTGTTTATCAAAATCATCTGGGAAAAATATTTACTCAAGATGCATTTAGAAGTGGTAATGCTTGTCCTTTAGCAGAAGTCTTAATCAATATTCTTGTTGCTAGTAGGTAAAGGAAAACAAGAAAAACCCTTAGAACCTAAAAAATCACCCACAAATGCCTGAGAATCAATTTGTTAACCTTTTCATGGCCTTGTGATTTTGTATTTATAATAGATTCTTACCATTTTAAAAACATTTTCAAAATAACTATAATAGAGGTTAAAATATTATGATAATATTATCCTGATCAGTAGTTTTACTATTACTAATTACATAAGCAAAATTAACAGAGAATGTTTTTTTAGAATCAGCAGTATACACATATCAATGTCTGTTCTTGCTCTTTCAGTTTTCAGGCATTTCAATAAGAAAATTCTCTAATTTAAATGCTCATCCAAGTGAATTTAGTGAATCCATCCAAGCTTTTTAAGTCTACAATAACAGAAATCATTTATACAGTTTTTCAAATGCTGAAGGAACTTAAAATAACGAAAAAAACATTAAACATTATATATATATATCAAAGTTAAAATAAACCTTAAGGTTATGGTATGAATGTCTTCTTCAAGCTTGTGAATAATGATTTAATGATATTTGTAATGAAAATAAGTATTAGGAATACTATATTTTTAAACATTACAATATAGTTGTTGTTTTAAAGAATGCCTTATATAAAGTGTTTCAACCACTACTGTGTTTGCCGTATCCATACCAGCCTGAAGAGCTCTGGATTGAGCAAAGTGTGTCATTGGCAATGGATATGGCAAAAATAGCGTGGTTGAAATACTATTATTATACCCTCTTTTAATTCTTGAAAATCCCTATGGACTAGATAAAGAATGTAGTATTAAAAATTTTATAGGCCTAATACTAATGTTTTATGGTTAACAATAAGAGATAATTTTTACAAATTTTCAGTTTCAAAATTCTAAAGGTATGTAAAAATAATGACAAAGTTAGAGCAAACCTCGAGCCAGGACTTTCCTAAGTAATTTCCATCAGTATGAGCAACTGTAATCAAAGTCTTAATAGTATCAATATTTTTGGTTTTCATCTCTGTGATTGGAGAGTTGGCAGTCAGAAGAGTGAAGCGAGCCAAGGCCTGAACATATGCATCACGTTCCAACTAAATTGAAATAAATATATCATATAATCAAGGAAACTAATGCTAATGCTACTTACTGCTTTAATGACACTGTTAATCTACGAAACTAATGCTAATGCTACTTACTGCTTTAATGACACTGTTAATCTACTCTTTACATACAAGTATGAACCATAACTCATTGAAAGAAATAGAGAAACACGAGAGAAATTAAATCTGGAAATAGAAAAAATAAAATAGATTTTAGAATAAGATAGGAATAAATGTTCAGAGATCAAAAGGGGAAATGAAATAACTTTCAGTAGCAATCATCTTCAAAGCTACAATAAGAAAAACGTTGATTATAAAAAAATACAAATAATTATATCCAAGATAAATAAATTAAGTGAATGATATTTTTCATAAATTATAACAAACATAGAAATTTTATTTAAATAACTTCAGGGTTGAAATATCTTACCCTCATGTGAAAGATACAGGCAATCCGAATTGCACATCGGATTCCATCCAAACAAAAGGCAGCAATCTCTGGATCATCACAATCTTGAAGACCCACACTAAAGGCAGCAAGGAATGGAGTCCATGCCATCTAATACAAAAACAGAAACTATTGTAACTTAAATAACAAAAGGTAACAGGATAATATTCAGAAAACATGATCATGATTTTTTATTTTTTTTTGTAAAATAAAACTTGTTAATTTACTCTATAAAAGAATACTAAATAACATTAAATGCAGTTTTTCATAATTCATAGGCATAAAAGCAAGAAGGTTTTCCACAGATGCACACACTCATTTCAACACACTACTCTATGTAGTTAAAAGATAAACACATACTTTTATAAAACTTCAAAATTTAACTGGTTGTCACAAATATCTGCTCAACACTAGAAACCCACCTTAAACATAGGTCGTACATGTTCTAGATGTTTAGCACTGGTGAACGGAGCCTGAGCATGGCTTACACTCTCCATCAAGCATTTTGCTGTCCGGGCCATTTGTTCCATTTCCATGTTATATAGTAATCTCCGCTTTTTCTCACTAGATAATCCTACAGAAATAGCCTAACCATTAGCCACAAAAAGCAACTTCTACACAAAATAAAACTGAAAAAAGGAAATGTTTGTTAAAATACTTTAAAATAAATTAGATATGTGCAGTAATCATTCAAAAATATACATTATGATTTTAAAAGAGAACCCTTAACTCAAAAAGTTATTGCAACAAAGCTGGGTATACTGTATCATTAGCAAGATGATAAACAATGATTTTAAGTCGATGAGAGTTCACAAGTAAACACAATCACATTTTCAGCCACATCTCTAAATCAATGATCATTTTTACAAGAAGGGTAAACAAAGAAACTAGAATAACAGTAATCCCATATGACCATATATCAGCCAAATAGGTAGTGGAGCCAATTTTGTGGCTTTGATTTGCTTAAAAATGGCATTGGAAGCTAATGAAATGTCTGTTGAAAATGTGTTTATATGTATGATCTAATTCCTTAACTGATGATTTTTACATCATTTAATCATGTGTGGTCTAAGATTGAGTTTGCCATTTTTCATGTTGTTCAAGAAAAACTGCAGTGTCAACCAATAATAAAGAAAGAAGATCCAGGGGAAGAACAGACATCATACATCATTTTTATAAAGTGCAATTAACCTCAGTATTAATTTTTAAACATTACAGAGACGTACACTATTTTTACAGATTTTTTGTCTTTTCATTGGGGGGAGGAGTGGAGGGCACCTAGATTGTTGTGAGAAATAAAAAAAACTTTTAATATACAAGAGTTAGATAAAAAAAATTACAGACACTTTGTGGAAGCAGCTTAATAACATGTAGTTCCAGCTTTGACTGTTACAACTGCTTTATTACTTTATAGAAGGGTATCTGCAAGTTCCTTAAAGGTATGTTCAAGAATTAGATTCCATATTCTTCCAGAACATGATTTGGCATAAGCTCAGCAGTCATGTTCACTCATGATAATCCTTCAATCACAGTTAAATTTACCTGATTTATGGAACAGTCACTACACTGTAATAACATTTGATACTGTTCCTCTTGCAGAGACAAAAAGATATACACTTTAATCCATTAAAGCACCAATTAATTAGACTCTTATAACACATTCTCTTTGCAAGTAAGTTAAGTCACACTTTCCCATGCTAGTTTGACAACTTACATGAACTAGAGCTTAGATATGTTTAAGTAATACAGATCACCTCTGTGGAAAATTATTGGTATAACAAATAAATTAGTCAGATTAGAATCTAGTCCTTTTAAAACCTAGGGAAGAATGGGCACATCTTTAAGTAGGTTTTTCCATTTGTTCATCCAACACAGTATTAAACAACAAGACATTGCAGTGATGGACCAATAAATGACATACACATTAAGAACACATACATATACATCCACTGAGATCTAGTGGACAGATATGGAATTTGCACCTTTTTTCTTTTTTTTTAGTGAACTATATATATTTATCAAACCACATATGCCCTCACATGTGACCAAAAAAGGCATGAAAGCATGTTCTGAATATTCCACATTTATTTTTGACAGAGAAAATGTGTTGCTAATATCAGATCACACAGGATATTTCAGCACACTCCAGGTTACTTTTGTTGGGTTGAAAATTTCTTAAAGTTTTCAATACAAAATTAATTGTTTCCCAACAAATCCTTTAAAAGACAGTTCCAAATGTTCTTCATATTTTAGATAAGATTCACAATAAATTATTTTTATTGGATATTTTCTTAACTATTATTTTCTTTTTTAAATCTTTACAAATGTAATTGAATCTTCAATCTATTGTATTTGCTAATTACCATGTGATAGCCTACAAAAAAAATTCATGTAAGCTGATTGTTGCATTTGCCTCATTGGAATTTTTTTTTTTCTACTTACTGTCAACTAGTATCATTCAGCTAACAACACTGAGCATCTGTTCATTTTTGATTTGTTAAATTTTGAAAAAAGATACATGAGGGCTACCTGTACTATCCATCCTTAATTTCAAACTGATGAACTAGAGAGAGATGACAATTAGTCTTTAGCACACCCTAAATCTTGGGCTACTCTAATCAAGTAGTGAAAGTTGACAGTTACTATTATAACATATACACAGCCCCAAAGTGCAATTACAAACTTATAATGTTTTTATTTCAAGATAAGGCAAAACACAAAATCTGAAAATAGGACACACAAATTGTGAACAAAACTTATTAGCATAAAAATACAATAATGTTTGAAAAGTGGTTTCAAATATTTTTAGTTTAATATAAATAACAAGAAACAAAATATAATGAATCATATGTTGCATCTAATAAATTTTTATATAATAGCAAATAGTTTCTGCAGAAAAAAACTAAAAATTTAGATCATAAATTTATTAAAGTTCTAGAAAATAAGTTTTTTAAACTTCAAAGATTAAACTGAACTCACCTTGACGGCCACTAGGCTTGTTTGATGTGGCTTTCATCTTGATTTCATTACCAGCAATCTCATCATAAATTTGAGAGAGATAATCCTCAGGCAGGTCTTTGCTGTCATTAATTCCTCGATTCATTCTTATATATTGCTCTTTTGTCATTTTGCTTTTCACCTGTGGGTGAGATATAGTTAGAAATTTTAAATCTTTTAACCTATAATCTCTTAACTAATATTATAGTGTTATGTATGTTATCTAAATTTGGTTTTTGAATTTAGAATATTATTAACTGATCAAGACACAAAAGGATTCAATGTTAGGATTATTTGAGGAAGGAGTTTCAAAGCAAAAGCTTAAAAAACATTAAGTTAGTGGATGGATTTTACTATACTGACAAAACAACAGGCCTTTGAGGCTAGAGAGTGTGACAAAACTCCACAACAGGATAAATTGCAATATAAAAAGCCTAATAACATGAATGCTTTTAAAGTGAAGAAAATATGCTTTCCAAAAATGGTTGGATTAACAAGTTTCTTATATTTGAACTACTTTTTTTTCATCATATATTTTCTTAGTACCAAGCATGTGGACACACCTGAGGGCTATGAAGATCTGTGGTCAACATTATGATGGAATAAGCTAGTACATAAGCAGTATCTGCACTGGCAAAAAGTCCATTACTGAAAAAGACCAAAAGAAAATTACTGTCTCTCTAAATGCAATAAAAATATCATTAAAAATTTTCTATTTGAAACATTATAACTTAATCTTTGATGTGAATTAGCACATATGATGCTTTTACCCAAAAGAGACTGATATGATGAACTGCCTCAACTACACCCCAAGGTTGAAAGGTCAACTCTTGTAAAATACACAATATGATCTTTGAAGTGTAGGACACATGTCAGCATTCTGAAATATTTCTCTGTGAACACTATACAGCCAGGCAGTTCATCCATTACTATTTACCTGAATAATCACTCATGTAAATTGGTGCCTTTTCCTAACTGATAAAAGTATTAACATACAAAAAACAAAATACTCTGAAATGTATTGTAGCTTGCATTTTATTAATAATTCTTTTTTAATCACATTACCTTTATATACATGTTGTGAATTTTTAAATATGTTTTTAATTAAAATTTGGGATGTAATTAAATTACCCCTTCAGAGCGCATAAAATAACTATTTTAATAAAAACAATTAACAGAAAGTTTTATATTATCAGAATTTCAAATATTACTTCAGATTTGTTTCACAATAGCGTGCAGCAAACTTTTCCATGAGTCTGTCAATCTTTTGGGCCTCTCCTGGTAAGCGAAAACCTTCCAGAAATATTCTTAAAGCAGACACAAAATCCTTTCCACTGAAATCCATCTGATCTACATATGCATACATCACCTCACGATTCAATCTGGTTAAGAAAACAAGTAAAAGTTAAATGGCTTATTGACAAAAGTAAAAATAAATGCATTTCAAGAAAAATTTAATAACCAGTTGAGTCACATACATAAATGCACATTTAAAGTAACATACATAAATGCACATTTAAAGTAACATGCATTTTGGAATAAAAATTCATACTAACAGAAAGAATTAGCATTTAGAATTAAAGTCCATTTTGATTCCTTCTATATGATGGCCAAAAGACAAAAAATATCAAGAGAATAAAACATATGTACACGTAAGATTTCTGTTTTAATCCTTCATATTACTGGTAACAAACAAATTTTTTTTTCAAACTTTCAATTATGCTTCATTTCATTCTATTATTACTCTGCCATTGTGTATGTAACTAGAAAAACTATCAAATATTACCATAAACTAAACCATGATATCAGGCTGTTGCAGAAGTTTCCCAGTAGTAAGCTATATTAACCAGAATCTCAATCATTTCTATGAGCCATCACGCTCTAAAAAAAGTTTTTTTTTAAAAAAAAAAGTACTTCCATACACTTAACCATTATTCATTTATATATATATATATATACATAGTTACTTTACCAACAATGAACTATACAATATTAATGAAAGTAAAAAACATACTTCTCATTTTCTCCCAGAAAATCTCCAATCTGGGTCTGAAAAGAAAAAATTGTGTATGTTTAAGAACATTTTTAAAACATATTGTAGTCTCAGTCTTAAACAGTTATTTTTCTGCATTTTAACTCTTTCCATACAGGCATCATTTTCTGCACATTCCACAAGGTTTTACTAAGTTACATTCAAAATATAATTTAACTACTTTATTATGACAATATACACATCAACTTAACATCAAAACATAGCTAATAAACCAAATTTTTAACATTATGTAAGTTAAGTTCTTAATTTTATACGGCAATATTACAAAAATCCTCAATTTCCCCCAGTATAAGAATTGTGACAATTGCTCCCTAGATCTTCCCTCCTCTCTCATTTATTTACCACCCCTAAGAGAAGTATGGAATTTAAGGTAAATTATTCATTATGATACAGATATTGCTAAGGCAAAGCATAATCTTTATAGCAATCAATTTATTTTTGGTTATAGAGCCATAGACTGGAAAATTAGGCCTCTATTGCCACACCCACTTGTCACATCCTCTCTCTCACAAATTGCCAATAAATCTCTCTGACATTTAATACTGTACCATTTATATCCAATAGAAAGCAAAAGATTTAATCTATCAAATGATGTATTATATTATATTGTTTTCTATACAAAGAATTGTCTATTTTGCTTCCAGTTCAAACTATATTCCCATGGGAAACATATCAACAAGTTTAGATGAAGGCTCTTACCATATAGTTAGAAAGCCAGAAAAATTTATGATAGTTATAAGACATTGTCTGATTTTTACACGTTATTATTCTGCATTCTTAGATGCATTGTTTAATTACATAAAAAAAACACCCAGATAGATACTATATGTCTTGTTTTTCATGTGTATTCTTTATTTATCATTATAAAAGTTTTTACAATATAAAACTTGCATACTTTTTAAGTCTAGATATAAGTTTAGATTAGGTAAAAGAAAAAAACATTTTTCATGGGGTACACACATAAGTAGCTTGCAAGTAGCTCATGCCTTACATAATTTGATAGGATAACAAGCACTACACGACTGATTTACAACTTTTGTGATAGGATTATTAGTTAGATATGGTTCTTAGGGCAATAAAACAAATTTAAGTGGAAACAGATATATATTATTACAAGTTTTAAGTTACTTAGGATAAACAGATGTAGTTTCAATTTAAATTCATTCAAAAAAGAAAAAAGGGTAATTTAGATTTATGTCATATTTATGTTTATGGTGCTTACATACAGAGTTAACATAGAAAAAATATAGTTTTATTTAAAAAAAACATTTCATATTTAATTAGGAGGTTTTACAGATTACGCAAATGAAATTTGACAACTTTCAGATGAAGAATAGCATTTATAATCCTAACATAAAAATTGCTTTGCACTCGAAGCAGTCAACACTTTGACTCCATATATTCAAGGAGAAATTTTTAGTAAAAATTCTGATTTTTTTCTACAAAAGATTTTTAATGCTTACTGAAAGCTTGCAAAATTTCATAAAAATAAGCAAATCATATTAGAAGTTATGGTATGGAAACTATAAAGTTCAATTTGGAGTTACAAAAATATGCATGAATTTATTTATCTGTGACTAATTTACTTTATATTCCTTTTCCTTTCTGAAACACCTCATGATAAAACAGAAGTTCTTAAACAGCAAGTAACATCTCATTTGTAACCATATAATCCACTTTGAAAGCATAGCTTGGATTGGCTTTGAGTGTGGTTTCTAAACCTATTGCTGTCCTAAACACTAAGCTGTGCTTCCATTAACAAAAATGAAGGCTTCCTTCCTTGAAATGTTGTATCCTTTAGCTCTATATTGTTTAACTATCTACCAAGGCAAATATTTTTTCAAGCATAAGCTATTCTGGTTGAATTAACTCTCAATTGGTTTGGAATTAGCCACAATGAAGTACATGTATATCACTTACAAACATGTTACCCATGATGTCAAGGCTTGCAGCTGAGGTTACATGCTACTGCATTAACATATGCAACTAATTCATATTAATTGCAATACATAAATTAATTTTTCCTGAACAAATGCAAAATTAACTCTTTCAGCACGGGCTTGGTACCTGAGACCAACCTCGTAACCATTTTGTGCTTGTTGTAGTTCTCATGTTATAACCTTTAAATTAGTATGCGAATGTTAACGAAAATCGGCAGATTATCAGTAAATATTACAATACTTTTATACACAAAATATCAAATTTTTTTATTAAGTCTTAAGGTTTGTAAAGCAATGTTTTCCTCATGTCCATTTTTTTTTTTGCATGTTGCCTAACTATCATGCAAAGTAATATTCATTTTAAGATTAAAAACACTTTTATGCAACAGAAAATTTAGAAATTTCACATGCGAAATCTTTATAATGTTGATTATCAAATGTTTATTAAGAA